GCTTCATAGGCAAAGAGATGGGGGAAAGCCAGGGCTGAAGAAGAAGAAGAACTATTTCTCTCAGCCAAAAAAGCAAACAAATTGCTTCATTGACAAAGAGAAGAGGGGAAGCCTTGTCCTTCCTTGTCCAGAGAAGAAGACAAACTGCTTCCTCAGTCAAGAGAAAAAATAGTCCTTCCTTCTCTCACCAAAGAAGCATATGAACTGCTTCATCGTGGAGAGAAAGACTGAAGCTGCCAAGCAAGGGGTTTGTCCAGTTCTTCAACCAAAAGGAGAAGACACTATTTTCTAATAAGCAAACTGTTCTAAAAATCCCCTGAACTTTGGTTTCTCTCTGCTTTAGTTCTTTTGATGGTCCACCTTGAATTGCATTCTACCTTCCTCCTTTTTTCTGCTCTCTCCACATGTCTTGATGGTGTTATTTTTCTTAATTAAGTGCCAAGAATATGAATAAGAATGATATTTTTGACATAGCTCAGTGGTTCTCAACCTGTGGGTCCTCAGATGTTTTGGCCTTCAACTCCCAGAAATCCTAACAGCTGATAAACTGGCTGAGATTTCTGAGAGTTGTAGGCCAAAACACCTGGGGACTCACAGGTTGAGAACAACTGACATAGCTATAGATAAATATCTAAACCAACTAAAGAATAGCACAAAATATCCAGGATTATATCAAACACTATCTAAACCTCTAACATACAAGGATTGAAAGGAAAAAAATGTCTCCACCTTCGTTACTTGGGTTTGGATCAGAATATTTTAATAAATCAAACGAAGAAATAATCCTTAGAATGTGTTCTTTAACTACCACTATTCAGTTTTCCATATAATCACCAGACAATTGGATACATTTCTGCCAACTATGAACAAGTTTTCTGAAGCCATCACAGAAGAAGTCAACACTTTGTTTCCGCAACCAGAATCTCACAGTTCTCTCAACGTCTTCATCAGAAGCATAATGATTGTCCCTACAGATCTTCTTTCATTATTGGGAACAGATGGAAGCCAGACGGTGATAAATCTGGACTGTATGGAGGACGTTGTACAGTGGTGAGATCCAGTCTCTGAAGTTTCAAGTCTGTGCGCTTTCATTTCAGGCGTCAGCATCCTGGGTACCCATTGTGCACAGATCTTCCGATAGCCAAGCAAAACAATAATGTGACCCACACGTTCTTGTGAAATGCTGATTATGCTTGAAATTTCTCTCTGAGTGATACGACGATCGTCCTGAATCAATCTGTCAACCTTTTGCTTGTGAAACCCGGTGGTTGCTGTCACAGGATGTCCAACTCTTTGTTTGTCATGCAAGTCAGATGTTCCCACCTCAACATCTTTAAACTTACTCACCCAACGACGCACAGTACCCATACCAACACAATCACCATAAACAGCTTGCATTCTCTGATTAATCTCCTTTGGGGTGACATCGTCTGCTGTCAAGAATTCAATGACTGCACGTTACTTAAGTCGCATTGACCGACCGTCTGCGCAAGGTTCCATACTTCACACTTTAACAACACAACCGATCAATGCTAAGGCTTCCTGCCAAAATGGAACTGTAGAGGAGAGTCTACTGAACAAGCCAGTACCTGCTGCATACCAATCCTGCTATCTGTTGAGGAGTTACAAAGATGGAGGCATTACTTTTCATTCAACTCTTGTATGTAGACAGGGATTTTTATAGTACAAAACTAGCATACATCAACTTTTTTTTAAAAAAACCCTCTGATTTAATCATTGATTCAAAGTGTGAAATAGCATATTTTAACTACTAAAAAATTAATTAATAGCACATAGCATTCAACAACACCTGGAGGGCCAAAAGTTTCCCATCCTTGTCTTACCTAGTAGAATATTGCATGCCCTATGAAATCCCCACAGTTCCAAACAACATGCCGAGTTCCTTCAACTTTACTAAAGTGATGCATTTATTAGTATGCATGTGGACGTTTTGTGCTTAAACTGTATAAAAGATCATGAACTTAGAAGATTGAACAGATTTTTTAAAAAGCGTCAAAGACATGAACAAAATTATTTTTATTACTTGCTAGTTAGAGGAAATGAAGTGAACTGTTTTAGCCCACCACTCTCAATTATGCCATTAAAATTCTCCTTTTTTTCCACTATGTTACAGCAATTTACAACACATAACCTCATGCAGGCTAGTCTACTATTTCACTGACCTTGCATAAGAATTATTGATTTTAACGAGATGCAAAATGAAAAGCCATGACCCATTTGCTGAACAAATCTGGTGCACAGTTATTTCGTTTTACTGTGCTTTGGCGAATATTTAAATATAAACAAGCACATACACATTTCTCCAACCAATCAGACTCAAATATTTCAGTATGCAGCATTTTCAGCGTTTTTAGTCTCTACATGCAAATAAACTGCATCTCACTCTAAGCTGGTAATTCTCCCTAGAGCAGCTGTGACAGGGATATATATATATATAGGAATAAAGGAATGTTTTGAAGAGGTAGTCTGACTGCACAAGAAACTAAACAGGTTGCTTGAAGCAGTGGAATCTTTTCAGGAGACCAATGAGCAATGGGACACCTGTGTTCTCTTGAAATGTTGGTGTCCTAAAATCTGAACTGTGTCCCATACCGTATGTTCTGTTGTGCACTGGGCCAGTAAAGAATTTCCTTTAGAACAGGACGTGCAACCTTTGCCCAGCAGGAAGCCAGGGGGCCCAAGGAGAAGTTCTCAGAGGTTTTCCACCACAAATAGTCTTTAGATGGCTTGTGAAGTATAACAAAGTCTTTTATTAATGAACAATCAAACAGAAACTTCTCTTGCCTTCAGAAAGTTAAACAAATGCTTCCAGGCTTTATGCAACTGGTGGCTTCCTAATCTTGTCCACGAAGGACAGGCAACTGTCTTCAACAACTTCTTCTTTACTTTAAAGGAAAATCCTCTTTTTAACTTCTCCCAGGCTGACTGTAATCTAACCCTTACTAATGTGGGCCGGGTCGAACTGCGTCTCGAAGCACCGAGTGGACATACCAGTAAAGGTTTATATATTCTCCAGCTGGAGTTCTTTGGTCTTTAGGGCTGTTTTCCTGGAAATCTTTGGAGACTCTTAAGACTGTTTTCCCCTGGAAAGTCTTGGATGCTCTTAAGACTGTTTCCCCCCAGAAAGTCTTAAGGGTTGAAGCTTTTGTACAGGGGAAGCTTGCACACGTCCTGTACATTATCTTTCCTTGCTGAGACTAACTAAAAAATGGCTCTCCTCCCTTCCCAATTGCCCTGAGCAAGGGGCGGAACCAAAACTTAACAATGATGGACAGGTGACTTGCCCTACGACTGCAACCAAAGGAAGCCACCTATCTGCAGAGTCCCTGAAACCCAGGGCTACAAGTAAACGTTTAATACAAAACAAATAAATTTGGAGCTCCTGGTACAGCTGTACCAGCACACCGTATGCCAAGTTCTAGGCCTTCTAGTGATCAAGCTATGACTCTGACCAACAGGAACAACAGCATTATTTATGTGTTTAATTTTTATTCCACCTTACCAATCAACCATCATGATCAAAGAAGCAAGCAAATATTATGTGATAAAACCATTAAAATAACAGTAGTAAAAATCATTACAATCACTACAATAAAATCAAATATAACATGACATGATAGGATTAAACTACGTATTGTTTTAAATGCTTTTAAGATGCTGTAATATGATGGCTTAAAAGTACTGAATGTTTATATTAAAAAAATCTTTTCCATTGTTATTGTTGTTGTTGTTGAGATTTATTTTGTTTTAATATATATTGAAAACTGTCTTGGGTTTTATATAGTAGAAGAGGATGGATAAAAATAGATGAGAGACAGGCAGGCAGGCAGACTGTCATATGTGTTGGGATATCACAATGTTTTTGCAGAAATCTAAGCCCATCATGGATAATTTTCCCACTCTTGTGCAGTACACAGTCTATCCGTATTTACTTGAGTCTAATGTTCCATCGAATCTAATGTGCACCTCAATTTTCAAAAACCCCAAACCCAAAGTATTTGCTGACTAATGTAATGCACAGCAGCAAAGGTGCACTCTTTGTAATATGACAATTACAATTGCTGATTGCTTAGAATTTCATTTTTTTTTTTTTAAAAAACCAAAAATGTTAGAACATCAAAGCTTCCAGCACTGGAAAAGAAACTTTGGATGCATCTATGCAACTAGAATGAATCCAGTTTAACTGCCTTGATTTAATGCCCTGGAGTCCTAGTGGCAGTAATTTTACAAGCCAAAAAAGGGTGACAACCTCACCAAGCTACAAATCTCAAGATTACATAGAATTGACCTATGACAATTAAATTAGAGATGGCATCCCTCAAATAGGAGCTCCAGGTGCTCCTGAAGCAACTTCCCCTATTGTTTTGGTTATATGGGCTGTTCCCACAGCCATATAACCCAGAATATCAAAGGCAGAAAATCCCACAATATCTGCTTTGAAGTGGGTTATCCATACTGCCATATATCCAAATCAGAGTCCAGACTGCCATATATTCCAGATCAAAACAGAAAATGTGAGATTTTATTCAACTGTGTGGAAGGGGCCTAGAATTACTGTATGACACACATTTAATGCACATCCTAATTTTGGCAAGGTGATTTAGCCAAAAAATGTGAGCATTAGATTCGAGTAAATGCAATATTTTGTTTGGAAAAGACCCTCCATTTCTCAGTACTAAAAGTGGTCATAGATGGTTATATGTAAAGAAACAGAAGAGAAATCAGCTATGACAGATGAATGAAAAACGAAATAGAAGAAATCTAAAGATCAGTATTTGCAAAAGTACAAGAAGGAGACTAATTTCCTCTTGTCAACTTTTGATGTAAAAGTTTCAGAGAAATCCAATACTCCTCTGTCAGACCAGTTCCAAAAAAACAATACTACCTTTTTCAAGGCCTCGGCCAATAAAGGAAATATGAAATGTTGAATGTGCATTCTTGGAAATGTTGGGTGGGCTGCTTGTTTTCAAACCACTTACCTTGACTGTGTAATACTCCTTTACTTCGGGCATAATAGAGTCAAAGTCCCCACTGATAAAATCAGGCAAAAAACTGTAAGAAAAGCAACATTCAGGTGTTGTTGTTGTTGTTTTACAAATGAAAACATCTCATGCCTTGAACATTTAAAAGGTTTAAAAGAGAATTTGAGGAAGGGAATAAAAAATATACAACTGAGATGGCAGCATCTGTATCCAAAAGTAACCTGAAATTAACAGATATACATTTCTAATTAACTTTCAAAGCAACATGTGCCTCGGGATTAAATAATTTGCATGGAGTTACTGGACTAAGTTCAGCAAGACTTATGCAAATGTACATAATTAAATGAATGAAGACAGTGTTACTTTGTGCAGTCATGCAACTGTTTATGGGTTTTATGCTTTGTAATTGTCTGAAGACTAGACACAAATAAACTGAAATAGATGGATGTAAACTGCTGCAAACAACACCACCCATTTAGGAGATACAGGTTGAGTATCTCTTGTTTGAAATGCTTGGAAGTAGAAACTTTTGAATTTGGGATTTGTTTTCAGATTTTGAAATGCTTCTAATTGCATAAATATACTTAATGAGGTATCTTGGAGATGGGACACAAAACTAAACACAACATTCATTTGTTTCATACACATCTTATATACAAGCCCTGAAGCTGAATTTATAGACAATATTCATAATAATTTTGTGCATGAAATAAAGTTGGTTTACAGTGAACCATCAGAAAGCAAAAATATCACTTTGCGTGTGGATGGGCAATACCCCTCCCGCCATCAACCAAAAAGACACACAAACACCGAGCTGGGAAGGAAATGGCCACAACTTGTTTATTGATTACAGGAACTGAAGGGTTGGAAGCCAGGTATGGGTTCTGGAGCAAGGTTGGTCAGCCCACTGCTGACCGATACTGCTGTATACGTAAGGGTGCCACCGGCACAATACCGGGCTGTGTTACTCGGCACCCCTGGAAACCACTGGATGTTCCACACTTCCACTGGGGGGGGGGGGGAAGGAGACCAGATCCAGGGTCCATGCCACATGCCAACTCAAGTTGTGATGAGATAACAATAACCCAATACGATGTTAACAATATTAAACCAAATAGGCATGCAGGGTGTGTGGGATGGCAAGTTGAAGCAGGCCTAGTGCCTTCATGTGTGTGGAGCAGCCCTATAAGGACTGCTGGCCAGGGGGAGGAGGCAGGCCTTGGCCAATCAGAGGGCCGGGCAGGGCTGGACACTGGTTGGCCAGTCAACCAACCGGTGGGAAAAACTCCCACCGCACAGGGGGGTTCTGGGAAGAAGAAGCCGCCTGCAACCAACATGGCCGGTGGGAGAGCGCCCCCCACTGCAACAGGCATTGTCTGGTAAGTCAGGCAATGCATATCTCGGATACGCATGTGGGTGATTTTGGAGTATTTCAGATTTTGAAAATCCTGATTAGAGATTATCAACATGTACTGTGTTCCTCTAGGAAAGGAATGTTTTAGAATCTTACTAATCCATTCTCTATTTTATCCTAATCCTTGCTATACTTCACCACATCCACATCTCTTTTATATTCATTAGGAGTGATTAGGGAATTGAATAATTCCAGTGACCAACTTTATATAACTACTAGAATATGTGGCAATAAACAAAGATAATTAATCTGATTATTTTTATGATGTGGTTTCCAGAACATGACAGCTTGCTAACATATTTCCTTAGTTGAGGAAATATCACTAAGCATATGAAGAAAGTCTAGGATAAGTCTCCCATTCTCCAACATGTACCCTCAGATAGTTTATCACATTTCTACACTTGGTCTTAGCCAAAAGGCCGAGAAGTTTTGTCACCATTATCATCAACTACCACAGAACCCCTTTAACTATATGTGCTCAAGTTGTAGCACATTCTGATGAATTGCAAAGTTAGCATCTAATATTCTATTATGGTCTCGGATTACATGGCTTTAATGATTTGTTTTAATGTTTGATGTTTTTGAACTTTTTGGATTTTAACATATTTACGGTATTTGTATGTATTTGTGAGGTATCGAATTGTTGCCTACTTTAAGGCCACTCTGAGTCTCCTTCAGGGTGAGAAGGGCGGGGTATAAATGTTAAATAAGTTAAATAACTTTTGATATACAAAGCTTCTAGTTTTATTATAACAACAACGTACAACCAATGTTTATTTACATTGCAAAAAGTATATAAACCACAATTTAAACATTCTGCTACTGGCAGCTGCTCATTTCAGGAGGTAGCTTTAATGAACAAAATGCACTGAAGCCACATTTCCCTTCATGTATTTTATCCAATAATGTAAAATGCAGAGAAAAAAAAGTTTTTATACACACTATATACAATTTAGTTTTCCTTAAAGCAAGCTATATTAAATCATTTTGCAAAAATTGCGCCAGAATTTCTGGTATGGCAGTGGAATTACAAAAAATGTTAATTCCACTGCCATACCATACAAAAAATGTTAATTCCACTGCCATACTAAATGCTATGATTTCGTTAGATCATGAATTATAAATTTTATGCTACGCAAATTTCAAACTAACAAGGATCAGACTTGGAAAATATAAATCAAGCAGGGCCTTAAAATGCAAGAATTAACTTTATTCAAGTCCCCTTTCGGGTGGAGAAGGAGACTTGGATAAAGTTAATTTTCGGGGGGAGTTAACTTTCAGGGGGGAGAAGGGCAGGGTATAAATATAGGAAATAAATAAATAAATAATATAAATGTGGTAAATAAATACATTTCTACTTTGTTGACTAAAAACAGATGTGGCTCCACTCTTACAGAATGGAAACAAACCAGCCCTCTGGATTTCCTGGGAGCTGACAGCAACAAAGCAAGTGAGATGGAGACTAGAGTAAGGTTGGTGGAAAACTCAAAGGAAATCTGATTGATCATGGGTTAGAGCAAGCATCCTCAAACTGCGGCCCTCCGGCTGTTTTGGCCTCCAACTCCCAGAAGCCTTAGCTGGCTTGTTCAATGGTCAGTAATACTAGAAGATAGAGGTTCAAACAGCTAGAGGACTGCAGTTTCAGAATGCCTGGGTTAGAGAGTATTTGAAAGCTGAGCCCGCGGAAATGAGAGTAGTGAAGAAATATTTTTGTTACAAGCATTACATCTGCAAAGAACCACCCAGTGGAGCTGTTTCTAGTGGTCAGAAGACTATTGCAAACTGGTCCTCAAGGAGAAATGTTGACAATACAACAACTCACTGTGAAGAATTTGCACAGCACTTTGCGGATAAAGTAGCTCAGGTTTGCTCCAACTTGTAAGCTGTTGTTGATTCCGTTTCAGTGAATGTAATTTGGCTCCTGCTTGTTCAGTGTTGATGCATGTTTTATGTATCCTATGGATGTGGACAAGATCCTTGGAGAGGTGAGAGCTACCACACGTGTTCTAGATCTTTGCCATTCCTGACTCATTAAACATGTCAAAGTGGGACTGGTGGATTGGGTAAGGGAAGTGATCAATGCCTGGGTTGTTATAGGTTTTTTTGGGCTGTATGGCCATAGTCTAGAGGCATTCTCTCCTGACGTTTCGCCTGCATCTATGGCAAGCATCCTCAGAGGTAGTGAGGTCTGTTGGAACTAGGAAAAGTTCCACTACCTCTGAGGATACCCAATCCACCAGTCCCACTTTGACATCTTTAATGAGTCAGGAATGGCAAAGATCTAGAACACGTATAGTAGATCTCACCTCTCCAAGGATCTTGTCCACATCCATAGGATACATAAAACATGCATCAACACTGAACAAGCAGGAGCCAAAGTTACATTCACTGAAACGGAATCAACAACAGCTTACAAGTTGGAGCAAACCTGAGCTACTTTATACTTTAGGAGAGAAAGCCTCTAAACCATGGTCATACAGCCCGAAAAAACCTACAACAACCCAGTGATTCCGGCCATGAAAGCCTTCGACAATACATTGAACGATGCCTCTTTGCATTTAGACAGGGTCCCCTCATGCTCAAGGTTTTACTGGAGGCGTCCAAATGACCCTTCCGGCAAACCTGAATTAATTTGAAACTCTGCTTGGTTTTAAGGCTTGTCTGGTCTGGGTCTTATCGGATGTTTAATTAATTTGGAACAAAGCATGGAAACTCTGCTTTGTTCTGAATTAATTTGGTTTTATTGGAGGCGTCATTTGGATACCTCCTGTAAAAAGGATTCGGGTCTTGGTTCTAAGGCCTGCCTGGATGGGTCCTCAGTCATTAGAGATTGGGCAGGTCGAGGCACAGTGATCTCTGCATTGCAACACACTCCTTATCCTTGACTTGCAATGCTTAGCTTTCAATTTCTCAAAAAGCCTTCCAGCTATTTGGAGACAAAGGCAGTGATTCCCTCTTGGAACTGTTCATGTTATTGATTTACAATGCAATGCATACAAGTCAGGTCAGAAGAAAGTTGATCCCCAGGTAATTTTGTGGGACAAAGTAAATTTATAGCAACCACAGACATAGTTGAAACCTGTCTCTCACTGTACAAAATGAATTGTTGGGACACCTATCAGGTAAGAGCTATATTGTGGTCTATGGACAAGTTGTCAATTGTGGTTCGTTTGTGTCACTGAAAGAGTGGGGTAATGATATATGAACAGTTCTGAGCAACCCCGTTGTTTCACAGTTAAAATATGTTCCCCAGAAATCTAAATTAGAATATTTAAGTGACATATGAACTTTCTGGATCCTGACACTCCAAAAACATTGAAGATTTCAACAGCGCCATTACAAATTAGGACAATCAAAACACCCCAGGCTCATGGAAATGTGAAAGAAAGTGATGAAGCAACTGTTCAGTTTTTTGACATTGTAATTGCCCTTTTAATGCCTCAAATCCTCATTAACAGCATATATTTTTTACCATTCCCTGCCACTGAATGTTATTCCAGACATGAATGGTACAATTAAAGAGTAAGGGATGGAATGCTGCTGGGCTCCCATCAGTAGATTTCAAAAGCAAGCATTATAAATAGAACACCCATCTACTCTTCCCTTCAAATCCTGAATAGCCCTGTGTAATTGCTGATCATTCCTGAGCCAACAGA